GGGGGAGGGGGGCAGGGGGCAGGGGGCTGAGCTGAGGGCTAGATCTCCTATATGGATCCTTGGTTGTGGGAGAAGCTGAAGCCTCAGTGGTGTAGGAAAGAGGATGGTCTGGCATGTGGGCCGGGCTTCTCAGGAATGACTGGACCTGGTGTAGACTTGGTCTACAAGTACTAGAACTAGGGTTGGTGCTCGTGCATTGCTTTGCAGATGCATCAGGGTTTTCTTGTAACCCTTGATGGGACTGGGATTGTTGGAGTCAGGCTGACAGATAGCTTAGAGGGATAATTGACTCCCTGGTTATAGGGCTAAAAAGCCCTGTCTTCCCCATTGGCTTGGAACTCAACTATGTAGACCAGACTGGCCAGAGTTTGAATGAGAATTAGTTGGACAGAGGAAAGCGGTGGTTGGTTTGTGGGATGCAAGTCCAATCCAGCCATGGAAGAAGCCCATGGCCAGCTGAGGTTCACAAGTTGTTCTTTATTATTAGTAGTAGTAGTAGAGGTAGTATTTTGAGACAAGGTCTCCCTGTAGTCCCAGCTGTCTTGGAACTCAACTATGTAGACCAGACTGGCCTTGAACTCAGAGAGATCTTCCTGCCTCCACATTCTGAGTGCTGAGATTAAAGGCGTGCGCCACCATGTCCAGCCTTCCAATTTACTGTTGTTATAATTTTTGAGACAGGGTCTCATTGTAACCCAGTCAGGCCCAGAATTCACTGTGTAACCCAGACTGGCCTTGAACTTGTGTCAGACCTCCTGCCTCATCCTCCCAAATGCAGGAATTACAGGCATGAGCCGAGATGACTGGCTTCCACAAATGACTGCTGAGTGGGGTTGAAACAAGGAACAGTAGAAGGCCATCATATAACAGGGTTAGAGCTGCCTTGTAGTATGGTCCATGAGAAGTCTGGAGTTAAACCTCCACTCTCTGGATCCTATATGCTGTGTAACCAGTGGGTAGACCAAGGAATGACTCTCAGTGGGGCCACGGTGGTATACGAGCAAGGCTAGAGAGATGTGTGGAAAAAGAGACCAGGGCCCATGGAGAGAGAATGTGAACTTCCGGTCTCAGGGCCCTCACATTTAGGACATAGGATTAAAGTGTGTGAATCCTTGTTTTATTGTGTAGGGGAGGGAGGATCTGCAGAACTGAAGGCTGATTTTTTGGTGCTAGATCATGCAGCCTTGCATGTCAAGGCCAGAAATTACACTGGCAGTTAGTGATCAGTGAGCCTGAGGAGAGAATGGATGTGGTGCCAAGTCCAGGTATTTTCTCTGAGGTAGATAGGCTAGGATTAGGTGTATGTGACCTTGGAGTCCTCAGAGGGAAGTGGATAATAAAACAAGCTTTTCCTGTCGTGCAGGGCTGTGTCTTCTGGGCCTGTTGGCTAAGATCAAATATAGTATCTGTTCTCATCAGTTTACTATTTGATACGTCCTCTATTCACGGATAGTATATGAAATGGGTATTTGGAGGCGGGACATGGAATAGGAGCTTGCTTTGTCCACTCCACGCATTGACCTGGTATTATTATCTCCAGGAACGAGGAACTGTGCACCCTCTCAGAGGACTTTAAAAAAAAAAAAAAAAAAAAAAAACAAATGAATACAGTCATGTGAGGAAAATACAGTTGAGTACTGTGTGCAGGACTGGGAGATAGTTAAGTGGATAAAGGGCTTGCTATTCAAGCGTGAGGACCTGAGTCCATTGTCTCAGCACCCACATAAAAGCCGAGGGCATTGACAAGCATCTGTAACCCCAGAGCTGAGGGCAAGGGCAGAGACGGTGTATCTGGATCTGTGGAGCCCGTTGACCATCCATCTTATCCAAGTGACGAGATCCAACTTCAGTGGGAGAAAAAAATATGGTGGAGATTGCTTGAAGAAAACACCTGATAGTGACTTCTGGTCTCCACATATGCATGTGCATCTATAGGTAGAAATGCATACACACTTGCACACAGACAAGTGTTTTGTGCATAGAGAGAGCGAACTAATTGCCCAGGAATAAGAAAGAATCATAAGAATAAGGGGTGAGTTCATGTTTCCAGGGTCTGGTCCTCAGGGATACTGTCTGACAGAACAGAAGTCAAGTTAACCTACCTCTGTGTGGCCACTTCCCTCCCTAATCAGTATTTGTGGCAGCCACAGAATTGACGAGAAAGGATAGTTGGCTTCACGCTAGGTCTGGAGGTTTGAGTCCATCTCCCTTTGTTTCCAGTGTCGGTGGGCAGAGAGTGGGCACAAGTGGCATTAGGCTGAGTATCTTGTCTGATAGTAGATGAGAAATACAGTAAGCAGGGGGTGGATACTGGGCAACAGAATGAACTTAGGTTCCTAGAAGAGAGCTGATCCTAGATTGAACTTTTTTCTGTTGTGACAGGGTATGACTTTTGAGGATGTGGCCATTCACTTCTCCCAGGAAGAGTGGGTGCTCCTTGATGAGGCTCAGAGGCTCCTGTACTGCAGTGTGATGCTGGAAAACTTTGTGCTTGTGGCATCCTTGGGTAAGGTCCTTTAGCCACCCCCCACCCCCCGCCCCCAGTGTTCTGAGTGGTTGCTGCCCTTCCTTTGCCCGGGGTGACTGTTACCTCAGGCTGTCAGCCTAATGGTCTCATTTTGATTGCCTCCCCCCTGTTGGGGTGACTGTTCAGAACTGTGGTGTTCTGTACCCCAGTTCCTGCATGATTCCTGTAACTGCCATTTCCCCATGGCCACCTATGTGAGGAATGGCCAGCATTTTCATGGTTACTCTTAAGTGAACCATGGGATGTTTTTTGTAATGTTTTCTTATTGCTGTGAGCTAGTGCTAGTCACTCGCCTGTCTTTTTTTTTTAATATTTTATTTATTATTTTTATTTTATACATATGAGCGTATTGCCTCCATGTATACAAGTGCACCCGTGTCATGCAGTGCCGGCGGTGGTCAGAAGAAGACTTCAGATCCCCTGGAACTGGAGTTATGGATAGTTGCTAGCCACCATGTAGGTGCTGGGTCCTCTGCAAGAGCAGCTGGTGCTCTTAACCACTGAGCCATCTCTCCAGCCCCTTGTCTTTTTTCTTTTAATATTGGTGTTTTTTATGTCCCATGTGGTTAGGGCTGCAGGGAGAGTCTTGGTTGCCTCATAGAGTGGACATTGCAAGATTGTCTTAGAGAAGACCTGGCCTAGGGAGAGGCACCCGGGGAAGGGTGTGACATTAGGGTTCTGTTCACATTATATCAGGAATCAGCAGAGTGTCCAACAGTTGGTGCAAGCGCCACCTGTCACGCCCTATTTCTGCCTTTATTTTCCAGTGCTTCATTCTTTGGTAACTTGTAATTTCATCTATGACTTCTGGCTTCTTGGCTACCTTGATGCTCTGCTACACTCTTAGTTTTGACTCAGTGCTATAAGGCATGCACATATCCTTAAATAGCCCTTGGTCACCAACTACTTAAGTTTCTTTTGGTGACTTCTGCACAGTATAGCCATATCGCTAATGGACAAAGTCCTGCTGAAAATTGTTGGTATTGATCAGAGACCCAGCTCTCCTTTGCTGTGCCCCATCCTTGCATCCTTGAGTAGGATCTCCCCGTTCTGGTTTTCAAAGACCTAATATTTGAAAGAAGCTCCTTCAATCTGTCCTACCTCTTTTGTTCTTAGTCCATTGTGCATTCTTCTTTCTTTGGGACAGGTTCTTGCTGTGTAGCATAGGAACCTTCTTCCTTAGCTTCCCGAGTACTGGCTTTACAGGTGTGTTTCATCACATCTAGCCATCTTACTGCTCATTGCCTAATATACCTTTACGATGGGCTTTTCTTTCCTCATTGATGTCAGCATCATTTCATCAGCATTTCAACCTGCATTTCTCTGATTTCAGGTTCCTGTCATGTGATGGGGAGTGAAGAAATAACTTCTGAGCATGACGTGCCTATAGAAGGGGTGACGTCTATGGCAAGTCCATCTACCCAGGAAACTCAACTCTTTGAGATGAGCATTCCAGCTTTACACTCAGCTGAGATCGAAAACACACATCCTGTGCAAAAACTGTACTTGAGCAAAACCAGTGTGAAAAGCCTCTGCTTGAATGAGGACCTTAACCAGCAGTGGGATAATTACAATGGAGAAAAGCCCTGCGATCTCGATGCTGACGGTGCCTCATGTAGGTCAAGCTGCAGACTCCATGTGTTGATAAAGCCATCCTTTGGGAAGGATGGGGAGGACTTCCCAGCCACCGTAGGCTGTCTTCAGCAGCTGGCTGCTTGCAATGGTGAGCAACCTCACACTAGCCCCAGCAAGTGTGGGGAAGCATTTTTGAGTGGAGAAAAACAGAAGGGCAGTGAATGCCAAAAAGTTTCGAGCCACAAACACACACTTGTTCTTCATCAGGCTGCCTCCTCTGGAAAAGGGCTTTATGAACACAACAAGTTTGAGAAAGCCGTCCCCCGCAAGCGCACACTTGTTCAGCACCAAGACGGTCACATTGGACAAAGGACATATGAGCGTAGTCAGCAAGAGAAATCCTTTAACAAAAAAGGTCACCTCCCTGCCCATGATAGAACTCATGCTCGAGAAAGACCCTATAAGTGCAGTGAATGTAGAAAAGCCTTTATCTACAAATCCGAACTCGTTTACCATCAAAGACGTCATAGTAGAAGAGTACATTATGAGTGTGGGGAATGTAGGAAATCCTTTACCTACAAATCCAACCTCACTGAACACCAGCGAATTCACACTGGAGAAAGGCCTTATCAGTGTGATGAATGTGGGAAATCCTTCAGACAGAGCTCTAGCCTCTTTAGACATCAGAGAGTTCACACTGGAGAAAGGCCTTATGAGTGTTATGAATGTGGGAAAGCCTTTAGACAAATCTTCAATCTCATTCGACACAGAAGAGTTCACACTGGAGAAATGCCGTATCAGTGCAGCGATTGTGATAAATCTTTTAGCTGCAAATCCGAACTCATTCAACATGAGAGAATTCACAGTGGAGAAAGGCCGTATGAGTGTAGTGAATGTGGGAAATTGTTTAGGCAGTTCTCCAACCTCATCCGACACAAGAGTGTTCATACCGGTGATAGGCCTTATGAATGCAGTGAGTGTGAGAAATCCTTTAGTCGCAAATTTATCCTCATTCAACACCAAAGAGTTCACACTGGAGAAAGGCCTTATAAATGTGGGGAATGTGGGAAATCCTTCACTCGGAAATCTGACCTCATCCAACACCGGAGAATTCATACTGGCACAAGACCTTATGAGTGTGATGAGTGTGGGAAATCATTTAGGCAACGCTCTGGACTCATTCAGCACCGGAGAGTTCACACTGGAGAGAGGCCTTATGAGTGTAGTGAGTGTGGAAAAGCATTTAGCCAGAGTGCTAGCCTTATTCAACACCAGAGAGTTCACACTGGAGAGAGACCTTATGAGTGTAGTGAATGTGGAAAATCCTTCAGCCAAAGCTCTAGCCTGATTCAACACCAGAGAGGCCACACTGGAGAAAGGCCTTATGAATGTAGTGAATGTGGGAAGCCCTTTACCCACAAGTCTGACCTCATTCAACACCAAAGGGTTCACACTGGGGAAAGACCTTATGAATGCAATGGCTGTGAGAAATCCTTTAGCCGCAAATCTAATCTTGTTCGACACCAGAGAGTTCACATTTAAGAAAGGTCTTCGTCGTTTAAGAAATGTGCTGTTTCATAAATTAGCGTATTAACACTGTAGGAAATTAGCGGCCTTCTCTATGTTTAATTTATGTGGGAAGCTTTGTTGAGATTCATTACAGATTCTAGTATGCCTAGGGCTATATTCTGATTTATGTTCCTGACAGTGTCTGTGGTACAAACTATGTCACCATTACCGCCTGGAAAGTTCACGTTTATGTGGATAAGTTAGCACTGCAGCATGCTTAGAGGTCCAAATGCCTGCACTGTCTGCTTGGGTCTCAGCCTTTGGAAACACCTTATTTCTTTGTATTTTCCTTTAGGGCATGAATCTTACTTAGTTTGGGTCTAGAAGACCTGGTCTGACTTGTGCTTCCAACCTGCTAAGAAAGATTATCTTGTTCACGGGGGAATTTTATCTTTATGCTTAAATATTTCCAGATTTGAATTTACCAGCTTGGAAAATGCATGCTGCCCATTACTCCAGTTTATGTTTTTGTAAAGGTAATTTTGTTTATGCATGTTTAGGCTTGAAGGTTCTGTTTGTTTTGTGGGATGACTTATGAGCTGATTAATGATGTCAGCATGAAGCGGTGAATCAGTTTTATGGACATCCTAACTGTGCTTCAGAAGGCAAGGTACAGTGACAGAGCAGCTCTCTGCAGCATTGGTCTGATTTTCATTGCTGACCACACCCTCAAAGGTAAGACAGTAGGACTTTGTGTTCCAGACTTGTGGACAGTTGCTAATTGTGAGGTTGGAGAGCATGGTGTAAAGGAGAATTGTGACAATCCCAAGTGCTTCTTTAAAACACATGACTAATTTTATTCACTTTGCCATTGGGATGTCACATAAGCTCTACCAGTGTTGAAGATTAACTCTTCTGCAGGTCTGGCACTGGAGTCAGATGTACAGAACTGTGTAGGCTAGCATGGTTGTAATTGGAACGGGAACTGAGTTAATAAGAGATAGCAGGTTAGATGGAACCTACATCTTTTTAAAAATGATTTTTTATATTGTGTGTTTGTCTATGTGTATAGGTGTATGTGCAGTATAGCTCATGTCAAGGTCAGGATTGCATGTGGAGGTTGGACAACTCGTGGAGTCAGTTCTCTCCTTCCGTCATGCCTGTCCCTTTACCTGTGCTATCTGCTCATTTGCTTGGGAATATGCTTCTTTTAAAAGTCCATCACGCATGTTCTAGAGATTTTGTGTGAATAAACAAATTCTCGAGATAAGCACCACTATTTCCTGACTGTAGTTTTTGGAAAAGAAAAATAGTGGTAAGTTTGGGGGGATTCTTGTACCCTCTCTGGGGTGTTCTGTTGTGGGCCACAGCTCTGCAGGCAGTAAAACAAGAGGAGGATGAGTCTGTAGTCCAGTGATAGGATTCTGAACTAGCTGTGATTTAAGGAGCAGTAACTTTTAGAACCTAAAATATTTGTTGCCAATGAAGCAAGGTTGCTCCTCTCAGGGTCAAAGGAAAGAGATGATGGAATTCATATCAGGCTGGGAACCTACATTTTCAAGAAAAGTGTGTCATCCATGTGTATTATTTTGAGCTCTTCATAGTTTCATTTAACTATTTGTTTAATTGACTTTGACAAAGAACAATGGCATGGCACTGTGGCATGTGCCTGTTCCTCCAGTCGCTAGGGAGGCTGAGGAAGGAGCATCTCTTGAGCCCAGAAGACCAGCCTGGGCAACATAGCAGGATCCTAGCTCAAAAACACAAATAATAAATTGTTTTAGAAAACCAATTTGATAGTCTTGAAATTATCATTATCTTTATGAAAATGAACTTACCTGTCACTTGTGTATTTATCTTGTGCCCTTTTTTATCTTCTATTTCCCAGTCCCCCTGAAAACCACTGATTTTCTTTACAATAAATTAACTCATACTTTCTAGAATTTTAAATTATCGTCATCATGTTTGCATGTGTGTGTGTGTGTGTGTATATGTTATAATTTTTTTGACATTCAGTGATAATGCTTATTGAAAAGTTGTGGAGTAGCATTTTGTTGTATGGATAAACTGCTGTTTGTCCATTAATTTATTTCAGTACTTCCTATTATTTATACACTTTACATATTACAGATAAAGATGCTGTGACTATTTCAGTTTTTATATGGATATGCATCTTATTTACCTTGTTAATAAAATGTTAGATGTTAAAAGGTGTTAATAGCTAAAATATAATGTTGGGGTGGATTTTTTTATATTTTGTTTATTATTTTTATTTATTTTATGTGTATGAGTGTATTGCCTGCATATGTAAGTGCACCCCTGTCTTGCAAAGCCCGTGGAGGTCAGAAGGAGGGTATCAGATCTCCTGGAACCGGAGTTATGGATGGTTGTTAGCTGCCGTGTGGTTGCTGAGAATTGAACTCAGGTCCTCTGCAAGAGCAGCCAGTGCTCTTAACCGCTGAGGCATCTCTCCAACCCCATAGGTGAATATTTTAAGAGTAATTTAGGAAATGATTGATTCTGATCTCTTTGCTTCCCATTGCGTCCTCTCCAGCAGTGTGTGAAGGCTGCAGTTCCTTACCATCCTGACCTGTACACCATATGGCTAATGCTTTTAAACGTTAGCCTATTTAGTAAATGAATAGTGACATTTCACTGTGGATTAATGGCATCTCCCTAAGAATACTAATATTGAACACGTTTTCATGTGCTTATTGGCCACCTGTACATCTGTAATAAAATGTTCCTATCTTTTTCCCTGATTTTCCTTCAATGAATTTATTATTTTAACAGATAAGGAGATATGACAATAAAGATATGTACAGGAATTTCACTCTTCAGCATTGTAAGGACTGCTTTTATGTATCATACAGAACAACTGCTTTTAAATACTGGAGGAAAATGTTTTTCTTCAGCTTTTTGTTTGGTGTGAAAATACCCATATAGACCGTACACTTCTAAGTTTAATATATATTTTAAACATATTATCCATCATGTTTAAAAATATATTTATTGAGTTTTTGTGCCTTTCATATAATAGATCTTAATCAAATTTAGACCCTCCCCTCCCTATCTCTGTTCCCTATAGCCCCTCCAATAGATTTCATGCATTCTGACATATATGTTAAGTCCTGTCCCATCAAGCTTTTATACCCAGATGTCCCTCAGTGAAGGTTCATCCACTTGAGTCTAGTCAGCCTATCTAGAATCACTCCCTTAAAAAAGATCTAATCACCCACACCCAGCAGTCATCTGTTGCTGATATTTCTTCGGCTAGGGCTAAACCTGCTGCCCACTTCCTCCCTCTGTGCTGGGTTTTTGTCTGAGTCGGCATGGGTCTTGTGCATGCTGTCATCATTGTTTCAAGTTCCCCACGGCAAGAGAACCTCTCTTTCCTTACGTTCATGCACCAACCCTGGCTCTTACTAACTTTCTGCCCCATCTTTTGCAGGGGTCCCTGAGCCATGGGTGGGTGAGGATTAATATAGGAGTCCTATCCAGGGATAAGCACTCAGAGTCTCTTGTTCTCTAAAACTTAGCCAATTGTGGCCTGCTTCCTCATACAAAAAAAAGTGCGATGCACACAGAAGGCCACAATTGGCTAAGTTTTAGAGAACAAGAGATGAGGGGTGTATTAGTATTCCGTCTACCTCCTGTTCCACCATGTTCTCTGAGCCTGCGGTATAGAGGTTCCACTGTAGATGTGTCACTTGGGGCTGGGCATCTCTCAGTCACATTTTCTGTGCTAAGAAGCACCTTAAAAAGTGCTCAACCTCCTCAGTAATTAGAGAAATGAAGATCAAAACCACTTTAAGATTCCATCTTACCCCAGTCAGACTGGCTAAGATCAAGAGAACAGATAACAACAAACGCCAGTGAGGATGCTGAGAAAGGGGAGTGCTCATTCACTGCTGATGAGAATGGAAACTCGTGCAGCCACTATGGAAAGGAACTACAGAGATAAAAGGAGAGAAAGAGCCTGAGAGAGGGGAAGAGTAGGAAACGTGTTACTGAAGGGGAAATGGAGAAAATGGGGGCATTCAACTGGGAAGAGAGGAGGGAAGAACATACAGAGAACCTTGAGGGTAAAGGGGAACTTTGGGCCTTCTGCACCCAGCCTTGCGATATTCTGTCTGACCCAAGGGATCACAGAAAGTTTGCTTCCCAATTCCTCCTAATTGGTTCCTTGGATTTGCTCCTGTCATTTGTACTTGTTTTTACTGGCAGGTAAGTGGGGCAAAGATGGTTAAAAGTTTTTCGCAATCCCCCACGTAGATACTGTCATAGATCTAGACTTGACAGGAAAATCCCAAGTCTTGTGGGGAGGGAACCAGGGAATAATAAACCTATGTGTCGGGGAGCAGAGTCTTACCCCAGTCACACTGGTGATGTCCCACAGCCGCGCTCAGCTTCATGTAGCACAGGGGCCACAGGTGAGTGTCTCTTCCTTTTACACACGATGCACCAAGCCAGAAGTCTGAGATGTAGCTGGGACAGGAGGTGACTCTTGCTTGTCTTCCTTCTTTGTTCATTTCCCTTTTGTTTCTGTTTTCTGTTTTGAAGAATACTTGCTTTATTTTTAAATATTTTATGTGTATGAGTATTTTGCCTGCACGTATGTAAGTGTGCCACATGCATGCAAGCCCACAGAGGCCAGGAAATGGCATCGGATGCCCTGGAGCTAGAGTCACAAGTGGTTGTGAGCCCCCTCCCCCAATTTGGCTGCTAGGAACCCAACTTGGGTCCGCTGCAAGATTAAGTATGTGCTCTTAACTGCAGGTCCTTTTCTCTTTTTGATGAAAAGTTGTTGCCAACTTTTCATGATTCATTAAATGGTACAAAACCTTCTATAATAAGAATTTTTCATGCTTGTATTAAAATTACAAAATTGGAAAAAACAATACATGCTTGGATAGATGGAACATATATAATTTGTGTGCCTTCCTGCCCTTTGAATTGTGCGTCAGTGCTGATGTAAAAGATAGGTTTGTGCCTGGTGTGCTGGCACACACCCTTAATCCCAGCATTCAGGAGACTGAGGCGGGAGAATCATGAGTTTGAGGTCAGCCTGGACTACATAGCAAGATCCTGACTAAAAATTATACATTTATAATGAAGAATTCCTTCAGTTAGATTTTACAAAAGTTGTTTTACCTGTAGTAGCTGCCCCTCCTTTGGGTAAGGTGTCAGGGGAAGACATAGCTACTGTTTGGGGGGAATCTCACAATTAAAACCCTGAGAATAATTGTCAATACAAATCCGAATGGAGACAGGCCATCACTGACTAATTGCCATTCCTGCTGTACTCTGATCTGAAGGGAGTTTTAGGGCACAGCCCAGGATTCAGGTAGTAAAATGAGAGAGTCCCAGTGCTATACATCAAGACCCCAAAATGTTTGTCTCTGTGCCAGTTCTTTCCAGAAATAGAAATTCTCAAGTTGCCCTGAAGGCAGGTAACATAGGAGATGGGTGAGGCTCAGAGCTGGAGGAGGCCTCCAACTGAGGAGCACTGTCATGGAGCACTGCAGCAGGGTGTTTCTGGAACTGCTGTTTCTGAAGGTAACTTCCTCTGTGAATCCATTGTTTCCTATCACTAACACTATCAGTTTTTACATCACATCTCAGGATATGTTTGACTTAGCAAAATAAACCATCATTAGAATTCTGTTGTGATTATTCTCCACTGCAGCCCATCTCATTTTAATTATATTTAAAGTACTAGTATTCAGTTTCTGGAATGAACAATTTTCTCTCTCATTGCTGAAGATTCCTCGTTATGTGTCTGTTGTATACAAGTCCAAATTTTCTTGAGCCTTGATTTCCGCATCTCTGTCCATAGCTTCTTATTTGACATTCTTTTTGACCCTTTGCTTCTCTCTAAAGTTCAGGAAATAACCAAGTTAAATATGACTTTTTTATTATTTTTTATCTTACGTGTATGAGTGTATTGCCTGCATGTGTATAAGTGCACCATATCAAGCAATGCCCATGGAAGTCAGAAGAAGGCCTCAGATCCCCTGGAACTGGAACTACAGAGTGGTTAACCACCATGTGGGTGCTGGGAATTGAACCTGGGTCCTGTGCAAGAGCCCTCAGTGCTCTTAACTGCTGAGCCATCTCTCTAGCCCCTTAAATATGATTTTTATTATAAACTATGAGCTGGTTTTGATTGACATGTTCAAAACCCAGAGCCAATACATGACCAATCAGATTTCTGAAACTGTCACTTCTTGGCAGTTTGAAAATCTCATCTAAGTGGCTCATACTCCTTCCTGCTTCCTCTCTCCTTTCCGTTTGTTCTATGCTCAGTCTGAGCGATATAATCAGTTCCAGGCCAGCCTGGGCTACACAAATGAGACCCTGTTATGTTCCCTCCCGACACACAAAAAAGAAAAGAATGTCCAGCGTGGTGGTATACGCATTTAATCCCAGCACTGGAGAGGCAGAGGCAGTGAATTAGAGAATATTGTGGTCACTCTGGTGTTCTAGATTTTAGAGTAAATGATTTCAGGATTTCCCTGCTTTGTGCCATGTTAGCTATGTTTTTCCCTTACAGCCTTTGTTGTATTGAGATATATCGATCCTATATTTTGGTATGTGCTTATCTCTAGGTATCAGAGTAATACTATCTTCATAAAATGCATTTGGAAGCTTTCTTTCCCTGTTAATTCACCTTTAAAGGCCTAGTAGAATTAGCCGTGGCTATTTCTGGTCATGGGCCTTTCCTTACTGGGAAGTCCTTTATTACTGTTTCAGTTTCATTGCTTGTTATAAATTTGTTTAAATTAAATATTCATTCATTCATTCATTAATGGCACAGAACACCTATGGCGTTGAGCGGACAACTGGGAGTTAGTTCTCATCTTCAGTCATCTAGGTTCTTGGGAATGAACTAAACAAGTGTTTTCACCCATTAGCACCATGTTACCAGCATAGTTTAAATTTCGTATAACCTGTTGGTTTAATCTTCATATGTCATATGTTTGCTGATGTTTCCATTTTATCATGATTTTTAAATTTATTGTAATATAAGTTTTCAGAGTATTTCCTAAAGATGCTCTGGATCTCAGTGAAGACTAGTGTTCAATATCCATGCATGTGTATAGTTTGTGTAGTTTCTTGTTTTATTCCATTATGACCTGACATGATGCAGGAAATTATTTCCTTGTTTGTGCATTCTTAAGACTTATTATATGGTCTAAAATGTGAGGTATTTTCATTTTTAAAAAAATTTTATGTGTACTAGTGTATTGCCTACATGTAGGTAGGTGCACCCATGTCATGCAATGCCCACAGAGGTCAGAAGAGGACTTTGGATCCCCTGTAACAGGAGGTACTGACGGTTGTTAGCCACCAGGTGGGTGCTGGAATTGAACCCGGGTCCTCTGCAAGAGTATACATTGCTCTTAATCTCTGAGCCATCTCTCCAGCCTGAGGTATTTTAAATTTTTTAAATTACATTTACTCATCTATATATTTTATATTTATTTATGTGTGTATGTATGCACATGCATGTGGAGGTCAGAGGATGACTTGCAACAGTTGATCTCTCCTTCCACCATGAGGTCCCAGGCATTGATCTTAGATCGTCAGGCTTGATTTCAAACGTTTTTACTCACTGACCCATCTCGACACCCAAATCTGATATATTTTAGACAACATTCTATGGACTGATAAGAATATGTTTCTCATATCTCTTGGATGCAATATTCTGCCTATGTCTATTAAGTCCATTTGATCCGTGATGCACTTTAACTCTGGTTTCTTTGTTGATTTTTAAAAAATATTTTATGTGTATGAGTATATTGCCTGCATTTGTGTAAGTATACCCGT